CTGCAATCTGAGACCTAGGACTCTGTTCCCATCTCTGCAACTGGATCCTTGATTTCCTGACCCACAGATCACAATCAGTAAGGATAGGCAACAACACTTCCTCCACAATACTCCTCAACACCAGTGCCCCGCAAGGCTGCGTACTCAGCCCCTTACTCCTTATATGCTCACAACTGTGTGGCAAAATACAGTTCTAACTCCATTTACAAATTCGCTGATGAAACCATTATAGTGGGTCGGATCTCAAACAACAACGAGACAAAGTACAGGAAGGAGATAGACAGTTTAGTGGCATAGTGTAAAGACAATAATCTCTCCCTCAATGTCAGCAAAATGAAGGAGTTGGTCATCGACTTCAGGAAGTGTAGTGGATGATACACCCCTGTCTGAATCAATGGTGCTGAGGTGTAAATGGTCAAGAGCTTCAACTTCCCAAGAGTAAATATCATCAACAATCTGTCCTGGTCCATCAATGTCGATGCTACAGTCAAGAAAGCACACCAACGCCTCTGCTTCCTCGTAAGTCTAAGGAAATTCACATGTCCATAATGATTCTTACCAATTTTTATAGATGCACCATAGAAAGCATCCTAATCAGGTGCATCACACTGTGGTATGGCAACTGCTTTGCCAAGATTGCAAAAAATTGCAGAGAGCTGTGAACGCAGCCCTGTCCATCATGAAAAGTAGCGTTCCTTCCGTTGACTCCATCTACACTTCCCACTGCCTTGGGAAAGCAACCAACATAATCAAAGACCCCACCTACCCTGGTTATACTCTCTTCCACCCTCTTCCATTGTGCAGAAATTAATAAAGTGTGAAAACATGTACCAACTGATTTAAGAACAACTTCGTCTCAGCTGTTATCAGGCTTATCAATGAACCTCTCGTATTAGAGTTGACCTTTCTCTGCGCTATCTCTGTAGCTGTATACTATTTTTCATTCGCTTCTATTACCCTGAAATACTCATGTAAGGTTTGATTTGTATGGTTAGCGTGCAAAACAATATTTTTCACTGTATTTTAGTACATGTGACAATAATAAATCAAATCATCATTTGCCTCTTAATTCCATATTTTTATTGAATTCAAATGTCACCATCTCCCATAGCAGGATTTGGACTGAGGTCCCTATAACTGGGTCTCTGGATAATGTCACTAGACCATCACCTCCCTTTTATTCCTTCATCATCCCTGTTTTGAAATCTTCAGACTCCCTATCTAATACGACTATGGGAAGATTATTTTCACCAAATGCACAGCCTTGGTTTAAGAACTCACCATAACTTTCTCAACAGCATTTAAGAATAGGGAATAATTGTTGGCTTTACCTCCACCAGTACGCCCTTTGATATCCTACCCTCAAATAGCTCAGGACTTTGCTCAATTTACATGTCTCCAAACTCATACAACAGCTCTTCCAAAGTCATCATTATTCCACCATTGGACCTCTGACTTTTACTCTGGACTCCGTTTTGTTTTCATAATCTACGTCCTATTGTCAATTACTATTGCGTTTATGTATCCTTATTACTATGTGTCTAGACCTGTACACCGACGTTGTTCCTGCATCCATTCGTGTACATATTTTGGCTGCCACCCCAGACTCGAGTCAATCAATCTACCTTTTGCTCTTTTTTAAAATTCCTTTTCTCTTTCCTCTCCCAGACTCTGTTCAGTTGTAAAGCATCCTTTGACTGCACTATTGTCAGGTAATCTATTTTCCTAATTGCCTTTCCCAACCCATCATTATTCCTGACCCTTATTGCTCTCTCACCACCATCCTAGTCTTGATTGCCTGTTAGATAGGCCTACGGTTTTCCTCCGTGAGTGAGGCACTCAGCACTGGGTCATTAGGAACATCCTCCCATCCCTCTTCTCATCAGTATAACCACCAGTGTGCCCACTGTGGCTAACCTTGTCAATCCACTTGCTGTACAACTCAATCCTCCTATTACTAACCCTGTGGACTCTGAAAGTGACTCAGGTCTCTGTGGCATAGTGGTAATGTCAACAGCATAATAATCCAGATCCGCAGGTTCATGTTCTGAGGACGTGAGTTCAAATCTCACCATGGTATGTAATGAAATTTGAATTCAGTTTAAGAGAAATATAAGACAGTGACTATGAAACCACTGGTGGTTGCTGTAAAAACACCATAAAAGCCCTTTAGAGAAGAAAGTCTGTCATCCTTACCTGGTCTGGACTACATGTGATTCTGGACCCAAAGCAATGTTGTCGACTCAAACAGGCAGTAATAGCTGGCTTTGCCACTTAAAAAAAAAGACACTCCTGTCCACATCTCCCTGTGGAATGTCCATTCACTCTTGAAAGAGGCCCTTTCCATCCAGGAACTGATTGTGTCAGCATCATGCCCTTAAGGAAAACCTGGCTGAGAGGAAGAAGGAACACAGGAAACCACATTTGTCATAAAGAAAATGCTGGAAAATTAAGGACATGACTTTGTGAAAGAGGAAGCATGTTTCACTAATTTATTAGAGTTAATTGAGAAATTAATGTGCCATGTGGATAAAGGGGAACCTGTGGTTACGGTGTACTTAAATTTCTAACACACATTGGGAAGGTTTCACTTCAAAGTTTACTACACAGAATAAGCGTCCATGATGTGCTGAATAACATATTAGCACAGATAGAGAATTTATTAGCTAACAGGCAACAAAGGAGGCATAAGTGGGTCAGTTTTGTGTTGGCAAAAGGTAATGGTGGGACCTCAACTATTTACAATCCAAATCAATGACTTGGATGAACAGACCAAATGTAGCTAAATCTGCTAGTGACACAAAGATAGGCAGCCTTATAAATTATGAAGAGCTCATATGAAGTTTGAAAAGATATATAGATATGTCAAGTGAGTGGGCAAAAATTTGGAAAAAAGTGTTTAATGTGGGAAAATGTGAACTTTGAGTATAGGAGTTAGGATGTCATATTGAGGTTTTACAGATAAGGCCTTTTCTGGAATACTGTGTCCAGTTCTGGTGACCCTGCTATAGGAAGGATATCATTAAAATAGAGAGGGTTGAGAAGAGAATTACCAGGATGTTGCTGGGAATAGAGGTTTTGAATTGTAAAAATTGGCTGGAAAGACTGGGACGTTTTTCACTGGAGTGTAGGAGGTTGAGGAGTGACCTTATTGAGATTTATAAAATCATGAGAGGCATAGATAAGATGAATAACAAGGATCTTTTCCCTAGGGTGGGGGTATACAAAACTAAGGGGCATAACTTTAAGGCGAGAGCAGAAAGATTTAAAAAGGACACAAGGGGTAACTTTTTTACAGAGAGTGGTTTGTATGTGGAATGAATTACCAGAGAAAGTGGTGGATGCAGGTACAGTTACAACATTTAAAAGAAATTTGGATACGTGCACCAATAGAAAACGTTTGGAGGGATATGGGCCAAGTGTAGGCAGGTGGGACTGGTTTCATTTGAGACCGTGGTCGGCATGGACTAATTGGACCAAAGGGTCTGTGTCCATGCTCTAAGACTATAATTCCATGCTCATTTTGACAGTAGAATGGAAAAACAGCTTTGATTTAAATGAAGGGAGATTGCATAACTCTGGGATACAGCGTGATGTGGTTATCATGCAAATGAATCACAAAATGTGTAGGTACAGCAAGTGACTTGGAAGGCACATGGAAAGGTGGCATTTATTAAAGAGGAGTAAAAGTAACAATAAGAGCAAAATACTGTGAATGCTGTAAATCTGAAAGAAAAACTCAAAAGTTCTGGAGAAACACAGCAGGAATGACATCATCTGTGGAGAGAGAAACAGAGTCAACATTTCAATCACATATCACCTTCTTCAGAATTCTCGAGTGCTTTCTGTTTTTATTATAAAAGTGGTGATGTTTTGCTGTACAGTTGTGTGGAATGCTGGTGAGATCCCATCTGGTACACTGTGTGCACTATTGGTCTCCTTATTTAAGGAAGGATGTAAATGTATTTGCAATTCGGAGAAGACTAACACTTGGAATAGGTGGGTTGTTTTAATTTGACAACTGGGATGGGTGATGTGGTGATTGTAATGAGGTCAGCTAGGTGGACCTCATAGAATATTAGTTCCCTGATTGGGGCTGTTTATTGGGTCCAATCAGGGAGCCCTGGCTGACAGGTCAGAACAGGAGTGTCAGGCACCCGGCTCACTCTGCGAGCTGGATCAGTGCCAAGGACTCTCCACATGTAAGTAAAGGGTGACTTGGTGAGGGGATAGCGGCCTCCGAGGAGTTATTTCAGGGCAGGTGTTGCTAGTGGTTGGTGTCTTATGATGAAAGATTAGACAGGCTGGGTGGGTTACAACAGAGTTTACAAGAATGTCAGTTGATCCTATTGAAAGATATAAGATCCTGGGGGATCTTAACAAGGTGGATGCTGAAAGGATGTTTCACCTTGTGGGACACAGTTTTAAAACGAGGGGACATGTATTTAAAATGGAGAATTCTTCGCTGACAGCCTGGAATTCTCTATTCCACAGGAGGCTCAGTCATTAAGTGTGTTCGAGGCAGAGACTGATTTCTGGATATTAAAGATATGAAGTGACAGTGCAGAGAAAATAGCCTTGAGGTAGAAGGCATGATCTAGTTGTATGACAGGTCAGATCTGAGAGAGTCGAATTGCTTACTGCTCCTATTTCCCGGTTCCCATTTTTAATCAGCCTATTACAGATACTCTGACACACCTCTGGAGCGGGTGGGACTTGAACTCAGACCTCCTGGCTCACATTATCACTAAGGAACAAAGAGCCGTCCCATGTTCTTATACAGTTATAAAACTGAGTGAGGGAGCATTTTGCTTCATAAGGGACTAAGTTACAGTAAACGTTACAGTGCACGAATGGATGAATTAACCGACAGTATTTATTTATTTTTAAATGGTCAAACATGGGCATTAACCTGTATGAATACGGCAACAATGTTGCAATCTTTTTTGAGTGTATTGGATACATCAATGAAACATGAAACGATCACGGGACCAGTCATGTGACGGTGCGGCTGTAAACTGCTGCCTTCCGGGTGTTGGATGCGGCTGAAGTGTGAAACTGGGTCAATGAGGCCGTGTTTTGTGTTCCGCTTGCTTGTCTTTTCCGTTGTCCTTTCCATCTCGGAAACTTCCCAGCCGCACATCATCTTCGTTCTGGCCGACGATTATGGCTGGAACGATATCGGGTACCACGGCTCTCAGATCCGAACGCCGGTTCTGGACAAGCTCTCAGCTCAGGGGGTCAGGCTGGAAAACTACTATGTCCAGCCCCTGTGTACACCTTCACGCAGCCAGTTACTGACCGGCAGGTACCAGGTAGGGACAAAGCAGTCACTTTCAGGAGACTTTCTGCTATTCACATCGACATTTAATTAGATCGAGACTTCTAACATTTCCAACACGGGGATATCGTATAGGAGCTTGTGAGTAAAGTTAGGGATGATGGTAATAACTATCTAAAGGATAGCTTTGCAAAAATGTTTGATCTCGGAGAAGATGCGCTGTCTTAAAGATATAGTTAACTGCGGACTTCTGGTATTGTGAAACCCTTTAACAAAATCCCAGAATTGTGTGTGAAAACAACAAATGCTGGAGATCACAGCGTGTCAGGCAGCATCCATGGAGACAACAGTGAAGTGTCATCTAGACTCGAACCGTTAGCTTGCTCTGTCTCCATGGATGCTGTCTGATCCACTGATCTCCAGCATGTGTGTTTTCAGTACAGATTCCAGCATCTGCAGGAATTTCCTCTTACCCAGAATTTGTGTTTTGCCCATCCCGAGAATGAGAAGAGAAAATCGAGATTTAGAGCAAGAAAATGGAGGATTTTTATTTTTAAAAAATGAAAATGTAGAGGATGTGAAATAGTTAAGGGTAATGAAAATTAGAGTCATGGTTTGGGTAAGATTTAATTTATTTTATTAAATGTGTAGACGTTTAGGAAATTTCAGTTTAGGAACTGAATGGTTGAAGACAGGGTGAGTGGGGGGAGGACGTATTCGAGGATGGGCGGTAGGACTCAAATGTTGTTGAGATGGTTAGAGTGATGCTACAGAGGGACTTTAATGATGTGTTGAGAACTTTTACCTGTTCGGGGGTCAGTGCTGGAAGGAGTAACTGGAAAATAATCCCCCTTGTTTTCAGTACGCAGCACCTTCAAACTGTTATTTTGCAAAGCCGCACAGGGACACAAAGCAATTTGAGAGTAAGATGTGCTAACATGAACAGGGAGCTGGATGAGCTGATGCCTGCAGACGCTGGGGACCGAGAGGCTGGCCTGGGTTTAAGGTTACAGCAGCAAGTGGCCCGAGGCAGCAATGGGTCATTTCTGGACGTGCAGGTAGGTGTTTTGTTACCATAGAGATGCTGTGGGTTTAGAAGCACAGCTCAGGATTAAATGGGGTCGCGAGTTTGCAAATGATCTTGCTCAACTGTGGCAGTGAGGGAGGTTGCAATCGATGGCAGTATTGTAAACCTGTTGTTGGGCAGAGTGTCCAGAGCAAATAATAATTCTGCCTCGACTGGCTGCTTCACAAGAGACTGATGATACAGCGACACTGGAGGATCAGACTGTTGATGGTGGATCTGGAAGGTCAGGGACTGTACTAGAGGAGAGGAAATAGTTTAGGGCAATTATTTTCGTTCGGCATCATATAATACACTCTGCCACTGTCAGTGGTGGGGAAAAAGAATATTTAAAATGGTGGTTGGGGTGCCAGTCTAGTGGGCTGCGTTGTCCTGGATGCTGTTGATTCTTTTTTAACGTGGAAGGAATTTCATTACACTTCTGATTTCACCAGTCAGCGGGTGAGTTCGGAATTCCAAGCCTCTGCCCTGCTCTTGTGGGCTTATAGTAACTGTTAAGGGCTAGACTATCACAACTGGAGGTTGCACAACATGGAAAGAGACAAAGATAACACACTGTGGAGCTGGATGAACGCAGCAGGCCAGGCAGCATCAGTGGAGCAGGAAAGTTGACATTTCGGGTCCCGAAAGAGACAATGAAGGTAAAGCTGCATATGGGGCAGCGCTGCATATGGGGCGGCACTGCTGTCCCACAGGGCCAGGGCATTCGATTCCACCCTCAGGCGACTAAGTGCAGTTTGCGCATCATGCTCCCCGCGTCTGTGTGGGTTTCCTCCAGGTGCTTCGGATTTCTCCCACTGTCCAAAGATGTGCGGGCTAGGTAGATTAACCATGGTAAATGCAGGATTACAGGGATAGGGTAGATGGATTAGCCATTGGAAATGCAGAGTTACAGGGGTAGGGTAGATGGATTAGCCATTGGAAATGCAGGGTTACAGGGATAAAGTAGATGGATTAGCCATTGGAAATGCAGGGCGACAGGGATAGGGTAGATGGATTAGCCATTGGAAATGCAGGGTTACAGGGATAGGGTAGATGGATTAGCCATGGTAAATGCAGGGTGACAGGGATAGGGTAGATGGATTAGCCATTGGAAATGCAGGGTGACAGGGATATAGGGTAGATGGATTAACCATGGGAAATGCAGGGTGACAGGTATAGGGTAGATGGATTAACCATGGGAAATGCAGAGTTACAGAGATAGGATGGGTGGATTAACCATGGGAAATGCAGGGTGACAGGGATAGGGTGGGGGCTGTCTGGGTGGGATGCTGTTCGGACAGTCGGTGTGGACTTGATGGGCTGAATAGCCTGCTTCCACACTGTAGGGATTCTATGATTCTATGAGCTAGCAGAGACTGATCTCTGCATCTGGTGGCAGTGGCTGGTTTAGATATTGACGCTGGTGCCAATAATGCACCAAGAAGCTGTGGGACTGAAATCGAAGAACCGGGGAGCACAGTTAAAGATAAAGCAACGGGATTAGTGTAGTTGAGGGAGACAATGTGACGACTGAGAGACAAGATCAGGGGAAGCAGCCAAACGTGAAAGAGCAAAGTCCTGGAATAGTTCTGTGGAATAAATGAAGTCGATGCCTGAGGACTGGGACAAAGACAGTTATTCAGATAGCCGCACCCCGGAGGTGAACAAGCAGACCAGCCTGCCCAACCCAGTGATTATTGTCAGCAAATTATTCTTTTAACATGGACCCTTTTAAAACAATAAAATGCATAACCTATTAAATATGTAAATAAATCAGCGTGATGCTGAATAAAAACCGAAAGAACTGCGGATGCTGTAAATCAGGAACAAAAACAGAAGTTGCTGAAAAAGCTCAGCAGGTCTGGCAGCTGTGAAGAAAATAAGAGTTAACGTTTTGGGTCCGGTGACCTAGTTCTGAGGAAGGGTCACTGGACTTGGAACGTTAACTCTGATTTTTTTCTTCACAGATGCTGCCAGACCTGCTGAGCTTTTCCAGCAACTTCTGTTTTTGTTGCAGTGTGATACTGAAGCAGCAACCGAGTCGAACCCAGTGCAGGATTGTAATGAGTTAGGACCAGATCAGCTACTTCAGCTTACAGTGAAAAGAAGTTCAATCAGATTAGTAAAACCTGAGGTTCCAGAAGGAGACCAAGAATTAGAAATTGACACAGTCGGAGATAGAATGTGGGGACTTTATCATGAGGACAAGAAACCAACTCAGTGGATTTGGTCCACGGAACATAATTTTGTGACAGCAGTGCAATAAAGCGGAGATGCTAGCAGAGCAGAGTACTACTGTGGATAACAGCAGGGTTTGGCTGTAGGCTAGAGTAGGTTACCTATAAAACCTGGTGACCATTTGAACCTGACAACGTCTTTCAGAGAGTTCGCCTTATCAGGCCTTTATTCCTAAGTGTCCCACAATCTGCTTCTAACAGCCCTTTTAAACTGCAGGTAGTATATTGATAGAAATAATATGTAACCATTATTAACTACTGATTTAATAATTCCTTATTCTTCTGTTTCTATTTAGATGTCTGTTACTGGCTGACAACCACATAATTTCGTAATACTGCTGAAGTTGTGTTACATCATCTAACATCTCAATGGCTTAATTCAAAGCCAATAGATTTTGTATAAAATTGCATCTTGACTTTGTTTAACAAGCAGTATTAATGAATTGTAAAAAACCTCTTATAATCAGCCAAATTTAGTAACGAAATCCATCAAATTAAAAATCTGAAACCCTGAGTCTGCTACAATTGTAAATAATTAGCAAAGATATCGTTTCTCATTGGATAGCACACAGAAGTGTGACATAAGAACAACATTTATAATAAGACCATTAGAGCATAAAACATACGAGCAGAAATTAGGCCATTCGGCCAATCGAGTCTGCTCTGCCACTCAATCATGGCTAGTAAGTTTCTCAACCCCATTCTCCTGTTTTCTCCCATAACCCTTGATCCCCTTGACAATCAAGAACCTATCTATCTCTATCTTAAATACACTCAATGACCTGGCCCCCACAGCCTTCTGTGGCAGTGAATTCCACAGATTCACCATTCTGTGGCTGAAGAAGTTTCTCCTTATCTCCGTTCTAAAAGGTCTTCCCTTTACTCTAAGGCTGTGCCCTCAGGTCCTAATCTGTCCAACCAATGGAAATATCTTCCCAATATCCACTCTGTCCAGGCCATTCAGTTTTCAGACCCCCCCAATCCTTCTAAACTCCATCAAGTATAGACCCAGAGTCCTCAAATGTTCCTCATTTGTTAAGTTTTTCATTTGTGGGACCATTCTTGTGAACTTCCTCTGAACCCAATCCAGGGCCAGTACATTCTTCCTAAGATATGGAGCCCAAAACTGCACACAATATTCCAAATGTGGCCTGACCAGGGCCTTATAAATCCTCAGAAGTACATCTCTGCTTTTATATTCAAGTCCCATCAAAATAAATGCCAAAGTTGCATTTGCCTTCCTAACTACTGACTGAACCTGCAAGTTTACCTTGAGAGAATCCTGGACTAGAACTCCCAAGTCTCTTTGCACTTCAGACTTCTGAATTTTCTCCCCATTTAGAAAATAGTCCATACCTCTATTCTTCTTACCAAAGCACAGGACCTCACACTTTCCAACGTTGTACTCCATCTGACACTTCTTTGCCCATTCTCCTAACCTGTCCAAATCCTTCTGCCACCTCGTCAATACTTCCTGTCCCTCTACCTATCTTTGTGTCATCTTCAAACTTAGCCAGAATGCCCTCAGTTCCTTCATCTAGATCATTAATGTATAAAGTGAAAAGTTGTGGTCCCAACACTGACCCTTACAGAACACCACTTGTAACCGGCTGCCATCCCGTGAAAGACTCTTTTAACCCCACTCTCTGTTTTCTGCCAGATAGCCAAACTTCTATCCATTCTAGGACCTTGCCTCTAACACTATGGGCCCTTATCTTACTCAGCAGCCTC